CCGACGCCAGAGCCCCTTTGTGAGGCGCCCGGTTGTGGCCCCGCGGGCCGGGCTGCTCAGCACGTCACAGCCCGAGCACTGCCATCATTCTTTTATTATTACGATTATTATTTGCAAGCTCCCAGGGGGGTCCCAGCCCAGCCCTCTGATGTCTGGCCCGGCACCCGCTGCCCCCGGGGCCTCCCGAGCTGCTCTTGCCTTTAACATCTCCTGACTTTAAGTGTAACGACAATTATCATCAAAGGGAGCCGGTCCTTAGGGGTGAGGTTGGGAGATGGAGGAGCCAGGAGTGAAAACTCCACCATATACACGCTGATCAGGCCTGTAGAGGGGCTGGGATCGCTGCTTTGCCACCAGAGCTTTACATTCCTCAGGAAATCACCCGCGTTTGTGCCTCACACCAACCCCGGGAACGCCGCGTTTGCTCCTTCTCACCCCAGACTTTAACTGCGGGAATGTTGTCGCTTCAGACTTTTCAGAAAACCCGGGAGTTAATTGCTTAATTAAAAAGAATAATGATTGATCACTACTGCAGGTGTATGCTAAATTATTCAAATAGAAGCAATCCAAATTGGCCTAATTGGATTACACTTCACTTGAGGTGATGGGAGCTCGCAAAGGTTCTATTGTGACAGCAGAACCCCAAACAAAAACAGGAGGTGGGGGGAGGACGCGGGGCTGGATGCTCCGCAGTGCCTCGGCATCCTGCGGGGCCCCAGAACCCACTGCACTACTGGTTTGCTCAGCTCTTTTTAACTTCTCTTCCAATGCTTCTGCGACAAAATTAGATTAAATGGAAACTCTGAGGGAAAAGAAGTTTTAAACCCTCTTTTTTTTTATTCAGAGAAGCAATGAAAGCCAAGGCAGGGTGTGGGGCCCGGCTGTGATGCTCGCGGTAGAGATTAGGGGGGTTTTGCAGGGTAAGGCACGTTGTCGGGGTCTGTCCTGCCGGGGTCCGTCCTGCCGGGGTCTGTCCTGCCGGGGTCTGTCCTGCCGGGGGCGCTC